AAAGCCCAGAGCCCCACACACAGCTGGCAGTGGTAGCATGCACTAGTAACCCCAGCTACTCCTGAGGTGGAGGCAGGAGGATTCCAAGTTTGAGGCCAGCCTGGGCAAAGTTAGCAAGACTATCTCAAAAACAAAATAAAGAAAAACAAAAGGGCTGGGGGCATAGCTCAAGTGGTAGAATGTTTGCCTAGGAAGTGAGACTTGGGTACAATCCCCAGTATTAAAACAAAAACAGAGCTGGCAGTACCCTCCTGGACTTGGCCACCACTGCTTCCCACATACAGATGCCTGCTGCCAGGGGCCTCTGGGCTTTTCTCCTGCCCAACCTCCTGGAAGGCTTTTCCCACATACTTTCTTTCCTGGCTGGGTTTGCTTTAACCTGCAAAGCATTTAATAACAAGGCAGGATAGAATGGGCAAGCGGATGGTTTGAGAAGCCTAGGCATCAATCCAGGCTCCAGGATGGTAGCCTTGGGCAAGTTCCTGAACGTCTGCCTCCATTTCTGCAGCTATAAAATGGAGTTGATAATAAAAGCATGTACCTCAGGAACTGTTATACTAATTACAGGGGTTACGATAGGTAACCTGCTTAGAACAGACACCAGCATATTCTAAAGTGTAATAAATGTTACCACACTATATTGGAGTTGTTTATAAGTCTATCCCTTCCATCTCAACACACACACACATATCCTAAGCTGTCTAATGCAGTAATCACTTCATTAGAAATAAATTAAAAATTCATTGAATTCTTAAAAATTAAATTTCCTCAGTCACACTGGTCATTTCAAATGCTTAAGAGCCACATGTGTTGAATGGGAAACCATAATTGGCAGTGCAAATACAGAACCTCTCCGTCACAGCAGAAAGTTCTAATGGTACCATAAACGACAAGCTCGCACTAGACCATGAACCTGAAGGCAGGGAATTCTGCCTTATTCATTCTTGCATCCCAGCATCCAACCCAGTACCTGCCACACAGGAGACATTGCTAATTGACTGAGGTTTTTTTGTTTATTCGTTTATTTTAGTGATACTTGGGTTTGAACTCAGGGCCTTGCATTTACTAGGCAGATGCTCTACCACTTGAGCCACACCACTGCTCTTTCCTTTTTCTGCCCAGTGCTGACCTGGGACTGCAAGCCTCTTACCTACACTTTACCGCCTGCATAGCTGGAAACACAAGCATGAGCCACCATGCCAGGCTTACTTGTTGACATGGGGTCTTGCTCACTTTTTGTCCAGGCTGAATGCAAACCTCGATCCTACCAATCTCTGCCTCCCAAGTAGCTGGGATTACAGGCATGTATCCACCATACCCAACTCAAACTGTTTCAAAGAGTTGTATAATCAAGACTGGGGGTTTCAGGTCCACATCCCTTCCAGCTTCACTATCTATGGCCTCCCAGTCCTCTCCAAGTCACCACTCTCTGTGGCCATCCCAATTAGCCTGACACAATAGCTCCCCTTCTTAGACACGTGCTTTCTGCTCTAGTCCCTGGCCAGGCTACTGCAGCCCCTCTCTCCATCCAGGCGCCCGCTCCCAGCCTTGGGTGCAGTTCCAGCGTCGGGCTGCCCGCCTGCCCATCAGCTCCACATATAGCCAGCTCTGGGCCTCGCTCACACCTGCCAGCACCCAGCAGGAAATGCGGGCTTTCCCTGCCTTCCTGGGCACCGAGGCCGCCAGTTCAGGTATGCCAGGTGCTGGCTATGGAAGGGGACCCCTCCCCTCCTCAGGATTTAGCCTTCAGCCCGTGTCCTCTTCCTTCAGGCAATGGCTCCTGGCTGGAGCTGATGCCCCTGGTGGCTGTGAGTGTGCACCTGCTGACAGGCAATGGGACAGAGGTGCCACTCTCAGGCCCCATTCATCTGTCCCTGCCAGTTCCCTCAGAGCCACGTGCCCTTGCTGTGGGCACCAGCATTCCAGCCTGGAGGTTTGACCCCAAGAGTGGTAAGTGTCTTGGTGGGTTATAGGTGCTGGAGTGCTGGAGTTTGGGGAAGGAAAGTGAGACTGAGGTCAGGGGCCTCTGGAGGACACTGAGTTTGATGAACCCCTGGTCTCTCCCAGGGCTGTGGGTACGCAATGGCACTGGTGTGATCCGGAAGGAAGGTCGGCAGCTCTACTGGACTTTTGTCTCCCCTCAGCTGGGTTACTGGGTGGCTGCCATGGCCTCCCCCACAGCTGGTAAGAGTGGTGGGTCAGTGGGACAGGGGGGCAGGGGAGGGGCATGCAGACCTGAACACTAAGCCCTTGCCTGGCACAGGGTTGGTCACCATCACTTCGGGCATCCAAGACATCGGCACCTACCACACCATCTTCCTGCTCACTATCCTGGCAGCCCTGGCCCTGCTGGTGCTCATCCTGCTGTGCCTGCTCACCTACTACTGCCGGTGAGTGCACCAGGACCCAGCCCCTCTGTGGTGGCTGCGGCCTGCTCATGCCTGATCTTGTGCTGTGCACTGGGGCCCCCAGAGAGGCAGAAAAACACACTTCCCATCCTCAAGGTACTGGTAGGGGAGGCCTGCATGTGCATCTGCAAACACCTGAAAGAGGGGTGGCTTAAGAGAACTGGGGGACAAGTGGCTGGACCTGTAGGCCAGGCCCCCTCAGACCATCTGCAGCTGTTCTACCAGGTCACACTCCTAGTTGGCTCAGATGCTCTTCGAGGTTCTCAGGGCACCTGGGACATAACAAAGGACTGCAGAGTTTATCTCATGGGAACTCAAATGGAAGCAGCTGCTGGATGGTTCCCCAGGTCACCCTAACTCTTTCCACTAACGTCTCTCAGCCCCCCACCTCTCCTGAAATGCTCAGGCATTCTCCCCAGTCCTCCATCTATCTTCACCCCTCATCCTGCAACGGTGGGGGTTATATAGCTACCCTGGCCCTCTGTCTTTCCTGAGGGTCTCCGCTCTCCTCCCTCTCCAGGAGACGCTGCCTAAAGCCCAGACAACAGCACCGCAAGCTGCAGCTCTCTGGGCCCTCTGATGGAAACAAACGAGACCAGGCCACTTCGATGTCCCAGCTCCACCTCATCTGTGGGGGACCCCTGGAGCCCGCCTCTTCGGGAGACCCAGAGGCCCCACCTCCGGGCCCCCTCCACTCAGCCTTCTCCAGCTCCCGAGACTTGGCCTCCTCCCGGGACGACTTCTTCCGTGCCAAGCCGCGCTCGGCCAGCCGCCCGGCCGCCGAGCCTCCGGGTGCCCGCGGGGCCGAGGGGGCGGGGCTCAAGGGCGCCCGCTCCGTCGAGGGGCCTGGCGGGCTGGAGCCCGGCCTGGATGAGTACCGGCGGGGACCGTCGGGGGCCGCGGCCTTCCTGCACGAGCCGCCCTCGCCCCCGCCACCATTCGACCACTACCTGAGCCACAAGGGGGCGGCCGAGAGCAAGACCCCCGACTTCCTGCTGTCGCAGTCAGTGGACCAACTGGCGCGGCCGCCGTCGCTCAGCCAGACCGGACAGCTCATCTTCTGCGGCTCCATCGACCACCTCAAGGACAATGTCTACCGCAACGTCATGCCCACCCTGGTGATCCCTGCGCACTACGTGCGCCTCGGCGGCGAGGCGGGCGCCGCGGGGGTCGGCGACGAGCCCGCCCAGCTCGAGGGCTCCGCCCCCGGGCCCGCGCGCCCTTTTTCCCAGCCCGATCCCCAGCGCCCGCTGATTCAGGGCCACTCGGGCGCGGGGGGCGAGGGCGGTGGAGGTGGCGGGGGCGAGGGCTGGGGGGGCGGGCGCTCGGCGCCCGTCAGCGGCTCGGTCACCATCCCGGTGCTGTTCAACGAGTCCACCATGGCGCAGCTCAACGGGGAGCTGCAAGCCCTGACGGAGAAGAAGCTGCTGGAACTGGGCGTGAAGCCTCACCCGCGCGCCTGGTTCGTGTCCCTGGACGGGCGCTCCAACTCACAAGTGCGCCACTCCTACATCGACCTGCAGGCGGGGGGCGGGGGCCGCAGCACCGACGCCAGCCTGGACTCGGGCGTCGACGTGCACGAGGCGCGGCCCGCGCGCCGGCGGCCCCCGCGGGAGGAGCGGGAGCGCGCCCCGCCCGCTGCCCAGCCGCCGCCGCCCGCGCCCCCGCGCCTGGCGCTCAGCGAGGACACGGAGCCCAGCAGCAGCGAGAGCCGCACCGGCCTCTGCTCCCCGGAGGACAACTCGCTGACGCCGCTGCTGGACGAGGTGGCGGCGCCCGAGGCCCGGGCGGCCACGGTGCCCCGCGGTCGGGGCCGCAGCCGCGGGGACAGTTCCCGCAGCAGTGCCAGCGAGCTGCGGCGCGACTCTCTCACCAGCCCGGAGGACGAGCTGGGGGCGGAGGTGGGCGACGAGACAGGCGACAAGAAGAGCCCGTGGCAGCGGCGGGAGGAGCGGCCGCTAATGGTGTTCAACGTCAAGTAGCGCCGCCCCCGCCCCTCCCGCCTGGGCCCGTCCCCAGGGTGCGCGCCCCAGGGAGCTGCGGGGGTCCTCGCTCTTAGCCCGGAAAGGTATCCAGGGGCCTGCGGAGCCGGTCCGTGGTATGTGCTGGGTAATGCCTTGGGAAGGTACCCTGGGGCTGCCTCCAAGCAGGGAGAGGTGGGAGGGGTCCGGCCCCCCACTGGGAGGTGCTGGGGAAGAGGGCTGGGGGTGGGGGGAAGCAGTGCCTGTATAAATGTGGTGGCTGTACATAGAAAGTTCTATCTTGGGAGAGCGAGAGGGATGACCTGGCCTGGGCTGCTAGTGTGAGGGCTGGGAAGGGAGGGGCATTCTCTGTGGACCCTTGGGAGGGGAGGGGGTGCTGCTTGTTGACTAGCTCATCTCTGGGCTACTATGTCACAGGGCTGGTGGCTGGGGCAGCCTTGAGGACAAGGGGGTAACTTGATGGGGCCGCTGTGGGCAACAGCAAATATAAGAGTGGTGAGGTTAACGTGGCGTGTGTCTTTCTGTGGGGATGGGGGAATGCTGGCACTGGAGGGCCCTTGCCCGGGGGTCCCCTGGGGAGGGCAGGCAGGGTGGCCAAATCATACAGTTAAGAAAGTGTACAAACTTTATTGGAGCACACCCACACACACAAGCACCCACACACACCTGTGGATAGGGGAAAGCACCTGGCCACAGGGTCCACAGAAACTGGGAGAGGGATGGCAGTTTGTAGTGTGGCTTTTGCCACAGCCCCCTTTGGATAAGAAAGGCCTTAAATTGAGGCCCCACCTCCTGTGGTGATGAGGTGACTTAGAATGGGGAGGCCTGAGTGGTGAACACCCTCTGAGCAGTGTCCTGAGGGCTGTAGGAGGCCTTCAGTCCCCAGCTCCTCCTCACAGCAGCTGTCTTGGGGCTGGGCCCCCCAAGGGGGAGTCCCAGCGTGGGGTCTTCTTGCGCAAACACTTGGTTCCTTTGGCCCCACAGTGGAAGCCAGTGGGACAGCAGTGACGCCCATCTGCACAGCAGACACCCTGGGTGGTCAGACAGGGGTGAGAAAGTTGGAAAAAGGCAGGACCTGACCCTTTCCCACACTCAGCCCAGGGTCAGGAGTGGCACTGACCTGGCGGTAGGGACAGCAAGCCCAGTCCCCTTGGCTATTTCGGCAGCAGGTCTGGTTATCATGGCAGAAGTGCCCTGCCCCACACGCCACATCCCCCATACCCTCACTGGGGCTGAGGGCCAGGTGGGCAGCAGGATGGGCAGAGTTCACCTCCTTCTCACAGGATCGGGCCTTCACGTTGCACGCGTACCCAGCTGGGCAGCAGTGTTGGCGATCCTCACAGCACACGGCCTAGGGTGACAGAATGACATCACACTCCTATCCCCCTCCCCTGGACTTAGCCCCTTATCCCAGGGCAGACTGGTAGGCACTCACATGGGGCAACTGGCAGCAGGCCCAGCCTCCACTCAGGCTTGGGCAACAGGTCTGTCCCACCGGGCAACTGGTGTGCTGGTCACAGCCAATGTCTCTAGTGTAGTTCACAGAAGCCTGGTGGGCAGGCATCTTCTCCACTCCAGCCACTATCTTGTTCTCCTTTTGACACTGCCCCTCATCCACACATGTGTAGCCATGGGGACAGCAGTGCTGGTGGTCTGAGCAGCAGACAGCCTGAAAACGGGGGCGGGGGCAGAAAAGGGTATTCTAGGAGGGACCACCTCTCCTCCTCACAGCTCCTCCAGTTGGGGACAAGTCACAGAGCTGAGGACCACTGTGGGCTAGGCAGGGTACAGAAGAGTGAGGACCAGGCCAAGATGCTGTCTACTCCCCCCGATGCAGACCCCTACCCATGCACCTCTGGGACAGGACAGCAGCCCCAATCCCCAGAAACAAGTCGGCAACAGGTATTATTAGGGGGACAGCTGGTGAAGTCATCACAGGGGACATCATTCTTCAAGTCTTGTGGGTCTGGCAGGCTAAGGTGAGCTGGGACCTTCTTCACCCAGGGCACCTGGAGGCTCCCCTGTTCACAGGTTCCTTTCTCTGTGTAACACTTGAATCCTGAGGGGCAGCAGTGGATGTGGTCCTCACAACACACAGCCTGTGGTGGAGAGAGAAGGGCCAGTGGGCACAGGGGCCTGGTCGGCTGCCAACTCTGCTCAGCCCATCCCACCCGCCATTCCTAGGTACCTGTGTAAATGGACAGCAACCCCAGGCCCCTGACTGGAGGCGGCAGCAGGTGTAGCCATCTGGGCAGCTCATCTCCATGTCACACTTCACTTCCTGAGCTGTGAGGTAGGGAGAGAGTCTACAGCAGTGGCACTTAGGGACCCTTACTGTGCCCACCCTTTGCAGACTCCACAGCTGGAACCAGATGTTGAGGTTGATGGGTATAGCTTGTGACACCTCATAGTGATCCTAACGCAAGGCCAGTGTTGGAAGAGCTGCACACACCGCGCCTGGCCTCTCCCTGTGGCACCAACCCCAACCCCCATGTCCAATTCTGGAACAGTGTGATGGAGGTCCCTCCTCACAGTGCAGGTGGAATGGGGTCTGTAATTTGTCCCCCAGTACCTGTGTGTGCAGACAGCTTGGTCAGGAGGTCTGTAGAATTGTCCTTGGAGAGGCACTTACTCTGGACCAGGTCACACACAGTGTCCTGGGGGCAGCAGTGTAGGTGGTCAGAGCAGCAAATGGCCTGGGTGGGGACAGGGGTGGGTGTCTGTGACTTCCAGTCTCAGGTGAGCACAGGGAACAGCCAGACTGATGCCTTGATGGCTGGCAGTGCTCCAGTCTCCCACTAGGGGGTAGCATGAGCCCTGAGTCTATCAGGCTCCCAGCATCACCAGCCAGCCAGCCTCAGCCCGGGAAGTCCCTGTAAAGCAGTGTTCAGGTCAAGAGTGCCCACAGCCAAGCTGACTCCAGCCCTTCACTTACATTGGGCATTGGACAGCAGCCATACTTCCCACTGGGCAGCTGGCAGCAGGTAGAATCATCAGGGCACTGGCTTCGTGCATCAGGACACACAACTGAGGTGAGCAAAGCCACTGGAAAAGGAGCAAGGCGTGAGGATGGAGAGAACTTTTTCCCAGTCAGGAGTTAGATGAGGACTCACCCTCAACCCCCAGCCTGATGCTCTCCCACCTCCTCACCTGCCCTATTGGTCTTCTGTGCAGGGATCTTCTTTGCTAGGGGGTAGGTGCCTGTGGGTGTGATGCAGCGAGTATGAACCAGGTCACAGGAGGCTCCATGGGGACAGCAGTGTACCCTGTCTTCGCAACAGGAGGCCTGAAAAGGGATGGTTCTGAATCCATCTTTGCCACCTGTAAGCCCCTAGCTCTGCCACCCCACCCTCTACTCACCCCCATCTTCCCACATCTATACCTGGGGCATGGGGCAGCACCCCCAGGAGCCATCAAGCATGATGCAGCATGTGGACGAGTCGGGGCATTCAAACTGGCTACCAGGGCACTGGACGGCACCCAACAGGTTGTCATCTGTGGAAAGCATGATCCAGCGTTCCAACTCAGTCAGTGAAGATCCCTCCCCCCATCACTCAAGGAGCTGATGGCACAAGGGCCTGCAGGCCTAGATGCAGGAAGCCTAGAGGTTGGCACTAGGGCTCAGTGATCTCTCAGGATCCCCTAACCCACTCTCTCCGGAAGCCAGTCCTTGCTTCAGAAAGATGACTGGAGTGGGCACGGTGATGCATCCACTGAAAATATGTAGACATCAAATCAGTACGGCGCTGCCCCTCTCTACCCCACGATACCTGGATTCTTTCCTGCCCTCTCCAATCCCTGGAGCTGCCCCTCTGTCTAGAGTAGGGGGTTGCTTAGTAGAGATGCCACATCAATCAGGGACATCCACCCCGCTGGCTGGGCTCCTGGGCACTCCAGGCTCCACATGTAGCCCACCCATCTGCCGTTCCCCCCTCACATCCCTGCCACACCTGATCTTTGAAAGCAGGATTGCCCATCAGCACTACAGTGGAAGCCTCGGGGACAGCAGTGGAGGCCATCCCCACATGACACGGCCTGTGGGACACAAAGAAGCCTGTCTTAGCAAGGCCCTTTTACCTAGGGGTAGGAGGGGTCAGGAAAAGGGCAAATGCAGACCTAAGTCCCTCTATGAAATCAATGGCACCCTCACCTCTGGGAAGGGGCAGCAACTGGAAGTCCCTGAGACAGTGAGCAGGCAGGAGTGGCCAGCAGAGCAGTGGGCATGGGTCTGGCAGGGGCTGCTCAGACGCTGGCTCAGTGTTGTGGGCCATTTGTCCTGAAAAGAGAGGATTAGGATAAACCAAAGGACCTGGGCTAGGTCTCCTTCTTGGTCAACCTAAAACAACCAATCAGGAAAACCCAGGCTGCCAGTTCCTGTCTGGGTTGAACAGCACTCACCAGAATGGGGTTACAGCAGCTGTAGCTGACTCCTCCTGGGTCCAGGCAGCAGGCCACAGGACAGAACTGACCATCTGGGCATTGTGATCCGGCTGCCAGCCCTGCCACTAAGGCCACCCAGCTCACTAGGATCCACATAGTCTGCCTGCAAAATACCAAAGTATGTTTGTCAACCAGCTTAAGCCCAGGCCACCCTCAATTCTGAAGCTATACACTCACTCAGCCTCAGGCCCATGTCCATACAGGCAGAAAGATATATGGCTCAAGTCAATTCCTGCATGTGTCCTGAATGTTGATGTGAGCAGGCGTGTGGATCAATGTCCCCACACATGGTCTAACACCTGCATCTCTATGGGCGAGTGTGTAGATGTAGTCTTATGAGAATCAGGAAGGCGTGCGGTTTTTGTGGGTCTGATCTGTGGGGATGTGGGCCAACTCCATGGGTGTGGGGGAGGCCTCAGCAGACATGAGAGAGGACAGGATTGGAGTGTAAGGAGGGAGTCCTCTTCTCAGGAAAAATCCAGGTTCCCTTTCCACACCCAGCCCTTCCAGATGCCTCCTTCCCTAACATTATGCTCCACCTGCACCTTGCCAGGGCCTTCGGGGGGGAGGGGGATGGGGGAGATGTGAAGCAATCACATGATCACATGGGAAACCACATGGTGGAGAAAGTTGTGAAAAAGGAAGTATGGTGGCCATCAGTCTGGGCTGCCTTCCCCAGAGGCCAGTCACAGCCTGTCTACAACTGTCCCCTCCCCACCCAGAGAAGGGGACACAAAGGCTGGGTCAGCTTTTGACACAACTATGTTCTGAAGCACCCTCAATATCACCAGAGTCCTTTTGGACTTCCTAAACATACTCCCTGTGTCAGCCTCTCCCCCTACCCTGGAAGTGAAACTCAGTGGCTTTGCAAAAAGACCATATATTTCCTCTGGGCTGCCCATCTGAGTCAGCAGGAGAAACTGAGTCTCATTTCTGGAACTGCAGCCCCTCACTTCCCTAACAAGTCTTCCCCTAGCTCAGCTGGCCCAGCTCTATAGGACGAGAGGAATGAAAACAGCAATGTTCTGTGAACCTCTCAAGAGATAGTTACAACTCTCCTTATGGTATTTCTTTGCAACAACCATCAAAGGAGTAATTATTACCTTCAGTTTTCAAAGGCGGGAACAAATTCAGAGCTAAGTAACATGCTTATGTCATATATCAAGTCAAAGTAATGACAGGCTTTGATGGACCCAGAGCATATTGGGCCTGGGTTCATATCACAAATGACACCCTGAACACTGGGAATGGACCCCAAACCCCAGGGGAAAAGAAACCTGAATATTAAGACAAAAGCATTGCCAGGCCAGGTGGACCATACAGACAGCAACAGGGACAGGGACTGCCAGGAAATCGCATTAAGTTCTAGCTCTGGAATTGCCATTAGCTGATTGTGAGGGTCTCAGAAGTCGCTTCCTGTGTGCCTCAATTTACTATGCACAGTAGCCAGGACCCCTGGCCAATGTGTGGATATTGCTGGAGGAGGAGGAGGAAATCCCATCCAGTCTTTCAAATCCTCTCTCCTTCACCTGGCGCCCCCTTCCCCAACCGAAAGACATCCCCAAGAGGCCATCTCTTTGCCAGGTTAGGGAGAAGGCTGGTCCTTTCACCCTCTCCTGGCTGTGCACAGCTCTCCGCCGCCCCGCCCACTTCTCGGGTGTCCAATCACAAGCCTCAGTAGGTTGTTCCGATGCTGGACTTCTTAGGGAAGAGGTGCCAGTAGGCAGAGGTGACTTTTGACACCCTGCTGATTTATATTTTCCTTCCTGTTTAGCCCAAGGTTAGGGAGTACGTTGTGTGGCTCTACTGAACACTGACGCACGCACGCACACACTGAGCCGAGAACGATCGGTGGGTGTGAGGGGAGGTCCAGTTCCTCTCAGTAAGGTTCAGAGTGATGGCCTCTCTCATCCCCACCCAACACTGCCCAAAGAGGCAGAGGACAGGGGCTCTTCCTGCCCCTGGCTCCGTAATCTTCCACTAGGTGGCACCCCCCCAATTCCAAGTGCCAAAGGAATTTCCCAAAAGATGAGCCAACCCAGCAGCGAAGGGGCAGGGAAAAAGTGGCGGGGAGAGGCGGAAGTTAGCTCGTCCCACCCCTCACGAGAGGAAGTAAGACGGACACAACTCCCCATTCCCGTTCCCAACCCCTGGGACCTACAGACTAAGAGCGGCCGTCCCCCTTCCCCCAAATCCAGGCCTCTGCAGGGCCCACCCACCACCATCAGAGAGGAAAAGAGCCCGCACCTGCCTACAGGAGGCGGGGCTGGCCCAAGGATAGGGCGCTCCATGCTTCGAAGAAAAGGGATGCAGCCTCCCGGCATGAAAGACCCCTCCTAATGGGGACGGCAAGTCTCTGCAATTACTGCTTATCTCCGCCCCCCCCCAAAAAGAAAAAACCCTTTTAATGCATCAAAAACCCCTAAAGGAGTTTCTATGGAAGGGTCTTCTCTTGTCTCCGGATGAGACTCCAAAGAAGCCTCAGGAGCACACGTCCCTGGCCAGGCCTCTGGCAGGAGCAGGAGAGAGGTCTGCACTGCCGCCGTCCTACCTGCGTCCGGGTCCGTGATCCATGGATAGCAGCAACCTCTCAGCTTCAGAACCACGACCCTCCGCGCGATGCCCTGCCCACCTCAGTTTCCATTGGTCAGAGGGCTGAGGTTACCGCGCTCCCATTGGTTATTCGTCGACGTAGAGGCGGGGCTATCCTGGAAGGCTGTGTTCTTTTCTACTGAAATCACTCTCCTCCCTCCCTCTTCCTCTCTCTCCCCGCACCCCATTTCTATGGATCATGTGATCAGAGAATCATATGACAACGCTGCTAGCCCGGACAAGGCAGTCCGTGCTCACTTCGCCTCCTTTTCATGTCGTGCAGGAGCCTGGGAGAGTTTCCTAGAGATGGGGCGTCGGTCTAAGGACATTGACGGTCAAGAGTGATGCCCCTGATGGGGCGTGTTCAAGGGCGTTTACAGGATGTCGGTCGCATTCTGGATTGCAGATCTTTGTGCATTCCCTTTTATTCTATTGAGCGAACTGGGATTAAATGCTACGCGACCAGGACTGCAAGAAAGTTGAGAAATGGTTGTGACGACGAAGATGAACAGCCCCCAGGCCTTTCTTCTTCAAGGTGCTGGAGTTTAGCTGAGGAGGCAGGGTCAGACTAAATCTGAGGTTCAAGGTCGTGCCCCAGGTGCATAGCGATTTGCATCTCTGAAGAGGAAGAAGATTGGTTAAAGGCGGAGAAGAGATTGAAGTCTACTGTGGGAGGACCATGTTCAGTGCGGAGGATTTTAAGTGGCAGGCGGGGAAGGTTTAAAGAACCCTACACAGGAGTGTTGAGAAGAGACTAGGAAAACAAGAAGGGTGGCGTTGGCAAAGGTTGAATACCATATTAACGGATACTTAGAAATTGCTTTTGTTATCGACACTGACTCCTTACTTGCTAACTGAAAGCAGGATAAAAGCTTGGCACCCCTGCCTCCGTGTTGTATTTGTTGTTGCTCTGAGCTGTTCTCTCCTGCAGTCAGAGAACAGCACTGATAGATAAATATCTTGTGACAGGAGTGGAAGCTACCTCCCCGGCAACAATGACTTTCTTATTGTGACAAGGCCCTGCCTGACCAATCTTGAGATAATGAGCAACCAGACCACACATTTGACGGCACTTTGCCCGGGACTGCTAAATTATACATACCGTTTGCCCCCTTCCCCAGTTCTTTCTCTGTTTAAACCTAAAGCTTATGTCTGCATGCCAAATGGGCTGAAATGGTTACTTTTTTTTTTTTTAAGCAGTACTGGGGTTGGAACTCTACCACTTGAGCCACTCCACCCACCCAGTTTTGTATTGCAAACTATTTTCCCGGGTTAGCTTCAAATCTTGATCCTCTTGATCTCTGCTTCCTGAGTAGCTAGGATTACAGGCGCAAGCTCCCAGCTCCCAGCTGAAATGCTCACTTCGCCTCTTCCCTTGGTGTGCCCGTTGTGTAATATTTTTCCTTTCTCTGTTCTTCACAACTACTGATCTCTTTCTTTAGCATATCGGAGTAAGTGGCCAGAACTGTTGGAATCCCTGGAGTTGGGCCTCTGGCCTAGAACTCCTTGTTATACCACGTGCAAGGCAAGGGGACTGAAGAGCAGCTGGCACCTGGCACAAAGCTGGGCTGAGGGTGGGGGATGCCAAAGTGGACATGGCTTCCTAGTTTTAGTTGGCCCTGCCTTCTAGAAATTGCCATGGTGGGTGAGGGGAAAACTTTTTCCATGCAGAATAGATTAGCCAGTGACAAGAGCCAGTGCTCAGTGCCAAAGTGCCTGGTCCAGGCAGAGATGGGTGATGGGAGAGGGACCAGGAGGGAAGAGACGCTCCGGGAAGCTCATTGGAAGGCTTTGGAGGAAGGGCAGGGCTTGCTTTCAAAGAGTGGATGGAGCACCTTGAAGACAGAGGAACGCTTGATCTGAGGGCTGGGACAGGAGACAAATAGCTAAACACAGAGGCAGTGAGAGTCTTGGGTAAGCAAGGAGTGGCACAGTTGTGGAATTGGGTGGCAGGTTTCTTAGCTTGGAGATACAGAGGGCCCAAAAAGTGCATAGATTACTGCTGAGAATCTAGGATAATTCTGTACCCTAATGACATATTTGTGATATTTTCCTCCCTGGGTCTCCCAAGGCCAGGGAGTGTAGCTTGTATGCCCATTGAAATACACTTGCACTTGGATGGCTGAAATGGAACCATCATTTGAGCCCAGGAGTTTGAGGTGAGCCTGGGCAATATGGAAAGACCTTATATCAAGGGAGGGAGGGGCAGATGTAGTGGTACATGCCTGTAATCCCAGCTACTCAGGAGGCAGAGATGGGAGGATCTTGGTCTGAAGCTGCCCAGACCAAAAGCAGGAAACCATATCTGAAAACCAAACTAAAAGTGAAAGGACTTGGGGAAGGAGATGGCAAGTGATAGACTGCTTGCTTAGCACAATCCCCAGTATTGCAAAAAAAGGAAATAAAACATACACATTTTCTTGAAATGATAGGCAAATCCAGGAATGAACCTATTAGTCGTAACTAGTCATGAATAAAATACATTCAGAAAAGCCAACTCCCTTGGGTGACGGCAGCAGTTTCTGGAGACAGTCTGGGTTGCCACAACCTGGGGAGCAGGAAGGATGCTGGCCCCTGGTGGGTAGAGGACAACGATCTGCTCCATCTTTCAATGTACAGTCAACCCTGAGCAACAAAGAATCTTCCTGCCCAGCAGGCCAGCCATATGGAGGCTGCTATACAGGGTCACAACCCTTCTCTATGGAGGCAAAGTTGTCCTCACTCACAGCTAAGCCAGTGCCCTACCACTGAGCTACATCCTCAGCCCTTGGGTGATTTTTTGTTTGTTTGTTTGCTTTAAGACAGGGTCTTGCTATGTAGCCCAGGCTGGCCTTGAACTTGTGATCCCTCTGCCTCTGTTTCCAAGTAGCTTTGCTACTGACCATGCACTTTCTTTTTTTTTGTAGGGGACTGGGGTTTGAACTCAGGGCTTTGCACTTGCAAAGCAGGTGCTCTGCTACTTAAACCACACCTCCAGTTCTGACCATACACTTTTTTTTTTCAGTACTGGGGTTTGAACTTGGGACCTACACCTCGAGCCACTCCACCAGCCCTTTTTTTATGATGTTTTTTTCAAGATAGGGTTTGGAGAACTATTTGCCAGGGATGGCTTCAAACCACTATCCTCCTGATCTCTGCCTCCTGAGCAACTAGGATAAATGTTACCTTATTTCCCAACAACAGAAGATTATAGAAAGATCAGGGAGGTCTGGAGGCGTAGATGAGAGATAGAGCATTCGCCTAGCCGGTGTGAGGCCCTGGTTTGGTTTGATCCAGAAAGAGGAGGAGAGGGGAGGGGAGAGGAGGGGAGGGAAAAAAAAAAGATGGAAGAAGGAAGATGTGTCTGTTGAAGTTTCTAGAAGCAATCACTTCAAGTTTAGCAAAGATTAAAAACATTCAATAGGAAAAATGGCAAAAAACAGACTGAACAGCTTAGAATTTCTGCATCCTGGAGACATTGGTTGTAGAGGCCTGGATGCCTTTAGGCCATCACTTTTAAAGGACAGCAACTAACAGTCCAGGTCCAACCTACAACATTCAGAAATGTTTGGCTCATGTGCACTTACTCTGGTTTCTGTGGCAAGAGGTATGAAATAGATTTCCTTTCTTTTTTCTTTTTTTTTTTTTTTTGAGGTACTGGGGTTTGGTCTCAGGACCTGCACTTTGAGTCACTCCACCAGCCCCTTTATTTGTGATGGGTTTTTCAAGATAGGGTCTCTCAAACTATTTGCCTGGGCTGGCTTCGAACCGCAATCTTCCTGATCTCTGCCTCCTGAGGAGCTAGGATTACAGGTTTGAGCCACTGACACCAGGCCTGAAGTAGATTTCCTAGGAGCAATGACTTTGTGGCAGTTTAGTGGAGTGGGTACAGTTCCCTAAGGACTGTGGAATGTCTCCTACAGTCCCCAGGAATACCACACTGTCCTTCTCCCCACCCCACCCCCCACCAAAGTCAGGAATCTCTTCCACTGCTTTTTGCTTTTATAAACAGGAAGACTGAAGAGAAGCAAATTTCCAGCGTGGTAAAGAGATGTGAGATCAGAGGGCTGGTTCCTATTTGCCCTCTTCTCTGAGCCCTCCCAGTCCCCATTGGCCAGGCCTGTGGTTTCCAGGATCCATGGACTTTCCTAGCATGACCTTTCCTGATCCAGTTAGTACCTCAGCATGGCATGTGAAATCGTTGACCCCTTTTCCTTTCAGATTTGCTTACAAGGAAATGAATCATAGCCTGACATCCCCAGAGTGTTTTCTCCTCCTGCTCAAGTGCATCCCAGGTTCCCTGGTCCCTGGGCAAGTCAGCACTGCCCACCTGCAACCTCCAGTCACCTCTGCAAAGCCTGTCTGCTCCCTTCCTATTACTGTTGCCACAGTGCCCAGCTGCCTGGCCTGCTGCCTCACCCTCTCCCTGAGTGTCCTGGCCTTTGGCATAGCTCCAAGGTGGGCACTATGCCCTGATCCTCTACTGGCTGCCTAGGCTCTAGTGTGCAGTGTGCAGTAATGGGTGGTCACAGTGAAGAGGGATGGGCATGGAGCCACCACTCATCCTTTTAGGGATTTTTTTTTTTTTTTTGCAGTACTGGGGCTTGAACTCAGGACCTATACCTTGAGCCACTCCACGAGCCCTTTTTGTGTTTGTGCGTGTGTGTTAGGTATTTTCGAGATAGGGTTTCTCAGATTATTTGCTTGGGCTGGCTTTGAACTGCAATCCTTCTGATCCCTGCCTCTTGAGTAGCTAGGATTACAGGCATGAGCCACTGGCACCTAGCCCTTTTAGGGATTTTATATCTTCCTTTTTCCCTCCCTTCCTCTTTCTCCCCTCTTCTCCTTTCTGTCCCCCTTTCCTTTAGTATTTGTATTTGCTTTTTTGGGTGAGACTGGAGTTTGAATGCTTGCAAAGCAGGCTCTCTACTGCTTGAACCACATCTCCAGTCCATTTAGCTCTGGCTATTT